TTCTCCTAGTTGAGTTACCTTCAGAGGTAGTAGATTTGCAACCACCTGCATAGACCAACTGACAGCCACCTTTGGTTCTCTGAGACCAAGATCTTGCCTTCTTTTGGATCCTGTCCATGCTAGAATCTTTGGTGACACCAAATACTGGGTTCGGGGAGTACAATTATGCTTGACCATTGCTCTCAGGGCTAGGGGTGATTTGTTTTCCTAACTTTGGTAGGCAATTGAGGGGCCGGTGCTATGATAATGTTCTGCTTTCTAGTAAAGCTTTGAACTCTTCAAAGAGTGGGGTTCATCAAAAAATAGGAATTGAACAAATAGAACCTCAGAGGTCTTAAAGGAATGATCTAGTTCAGGGAGAGACAGGCCGTGGCTGCCTCTGCTGGAGGATCCCCTGCTCGCCCAGGCAGCAGGACCCTCCAGCGGAGACTGCGAGGAATCAGCAATTGAGGAGTGCTTTTGTGTTTTTCTACAAGGGTAGGAAATTTTGAACTTTAATTCTTTGAATTTTGTTGTCTTTGGGTTTTAACTTACAGAGGATTTAATCTCTAGACCTCAATTTCTTTCTAGTCATTAGTCTGGAACAGAGATATGGAAAAGGTTTTTGGGGGTTTTTGGTTTTCACTGGTTTTGTTTTCAACGGGACCCTTTTAACCCCAACAGGGGAGAGAGTCCTGGAGTGTTAGTCTAATGGAAATTCCTTTATCTGAGACCCACAGGATGTGTTCCCATGTAGCACTTCACTGAGCCCACTGATTCTGGCACGGGTGTGCTGCGCTGAGGGGAGATTCTTTATAGTGTCAAAGTCTCCACATCTGTTGTGAGTGGCATTTTAAGTCTTGAACACAGAGGCTGACTTCAGCTCCTCTCAAGTTTGGAATGAGTTTGGTTCATGCAGCTTGCTTGCAGCTGTGATTGCCCAGTATTCCTCGCCTTTGTGCCACCTGGGGCATCACCTGTGCACATTTCTGACTCTGCTCTTGCTGCTTCTGCGTCTGGTTTCCTCAGGTCTTAGGGAACAAGAATACCTCTTCCACCTGCTTTTCAAGACACTGTCTTTCTTTGGATCTGGAATGTTCCAGGCTGTGCATGGGGCAATATGCCTTCAGAACTTCAGTCCCCTCAGCAGTGCCCAATTCCTTCTGGGAAGGCTCAGCTGTTTCTGACAGTTTAACTTGCTCCTTTCATTGATTGCATTCTTTCTCTACACCAATGGAAAAAATTGAAAAACCAGAAATAAACCCACATGTATATTGGCAAATAATTTTCGACACTGGAGTCAAAAACACACAATTGAGAAAAGAAAGTCTCAATAAATGATGCTGGGAAAATTAAAAAGTCACATGCAAAAGATTGAAACTAGACTACAGTTTGTCCCCATCTACAAAAATAAATTCAAAATGGATCAAAGATCTAAATATCAACCTGAAACAATAAATTACATAGAAGAAAAGATAGGCGCTAAACTTACAGACCAGTACATTTATTTATTGCTTAGGGCAATTAAACAGGATTTTGTTATTTGCAGCAGCAAGCAACCCCTAACTGAAGAATTTTGGCAAGACAAAAAAGTCTCATGTTAGCTTACTGCATGTTGTTTATCAAAGAAATGGGAACATTCCAAGTGCACTTTTATTTTAGTTAATCAGCCAGAATGTATCAAAGGACTGTATTGGACACTATAATGGGCATAATGGAGCAAATGGGAGAAAATAAAGGATGTAATTCTTGTATTAAGGACTTTTTTGAGAAACCTCAACCTACAGATATTAATGACATTATTTGCAAATTTTTGTCATTGATAATTTTATCAATTTATTAATTTATTCATTTGATATTTATTAAAGATCATGTGCAAAACAATATATGAACTTTATTATACACATAGATACATATATAACTTACCACTGACATATTTTCCACTTAAAATTTAGCCAGACCAAAAAGTGACAACCATAAAATGAGCTGGGGTAGAGTATTATATAATGTCCCCCAGTGAATCACTCTTCCTGATACCCACCATTTGTGGAATCTTTTCCCACAAAGACTATGGGCTTGGCCACATCACCTGCTTTGGCAATGAACATCATCAGATCTTTCACAAGCAAAGTCTTGATAGCATCTATGCGTAGGTATTTAAGCTACCCTTAAACTGCCATGCAATGAAGAAACCCAAAATGCAAGAACATGTAGATGGGAAGGCCCAGCTACTCAGCCATTGCAGCCAGACCCTGTTCCCAGAAGACCCTCCGGCTAAATGTACCCACATGAGTGAGCTCAGGAGAAACCAGCAGAAGAACTGCTGAGCTAACCCACAGACTTGTGAGAAATAAAGACTTATAGTCATTAAGCTTTGGGATGGTTTGTTTTGCAGCAATAGACAACTAAATCATGGGTAGATTGGTAAAATGGTGTTGATGCCTTAAAAATGGAAGTCAGGGGCCTGGATATCAGAAGATTTGGGTTATAGTCTCCAACCACACATCAAATTGAGATATTTAACTGCTTACTATATAATTTGGTGAGATTTCACACCAACTTGAAATGAGAGAAACCCAATGGTAAGGCAAAGCTCAGGGGATAGAGTGAGGGCCCCAGCCTTAACTCCCGGAGACTCATGAGAGTCAGTTGTATAATTCTAGGTCAAGGCCAGAAGACCCAGGTCCCAGTTCAGTAGTCAGGCCTCTTCCTTCCCCCACTTTTTGTTCTGTTCAGGCTCTCCTATTTGGGAGTGCAATCTACTTTACTCAGTCTCCTGATTCAAATGCTAAGCTCCTCCGTCAGCACCCTTACAGGCACACCCAGAAAAAACATTTAATCAAATATCTGGGCACCCCATGGCCCAGTCAAGTTAACACATAAAATTAATCATCACAAGAAGTTATGAGGTCTCCTTATAACTTCATCCCTAATGGGAAGTGTCAAATGCCTACACTTTTTTTTTTTTTAAATATCTCTTCCTGAAAGTGCACTGATATACAATTTCATCTTATTAAGCACAGAAGGATACAAATAATTGAAAATTTAGCTCGTGTCAAAACCCATGAGGTTATACCAAGAGCAAGATTTGGGTACTAGACATTCAGGAGCCACTATGCAAGCTGAAACCTTCATTCCTCTGGCCAATGAAGTCACACCACTGGTAAGAGCATTAGAACTGCTTCCTTGCAAATGATACAGCAAACATTTCCTCAGCTAACTGAATGGAGTTTTTTAAGTATATTTTGAATTTTTAAAAAGATTTTATTCTTCAAAGAACATTTATCATTATTGTATATTTAAAAAATATTTTAGTCACTAAAAGCCTGCCCTAGGCCAAAGCGTCCTATAGTTGTGACACAGCAGATGCTTCCATATTAATATGTTATAAAGGAAAAATAGTTCCATAGTTAAACGTTTGGAACTATGGCTTCTTTCTTTTTTTAACTTTTTATTACAAAACTTCTAGAAAAATTGACGAATATTACAAAAGAACGCCCACATATTCACCACTGAGCTTCAACAGTTAACATTTTTGAACGTTAATATTGTTTGATATATATAGTTGTTGTTTTTGAATAACTTGAAAATTAGTTGCAGACATCATATTGTTACACTTCACCTTTGAAAACGCGGAAGACATGCTTGCATAACCACAGAAGCATTATCATACTTTAACATTAATTCCCAAATATTGCCTAATAACCAGTCCATATTCAAAGTTTACCTTTTGTCCTCAATATAACTTGTAGAGATCTTTTCTTTTAAACAAAAATATATGTATCAGTGAACAAAACAAAGCCCCGAGTGAGCTTTGAGTGAATTGTACCAATCCTTGCCTCTTTCTGCATCTTAGACCTGTGTTTGTGCAGGAACAGGAAACACGATAATGGAAAGCTTGCAGATTCTCAGCTGAAAGACACTGGAAAACACATGGATATATTGTTGATAAATGCTATAGAACCAAAGGACAATTAAGAGGAGGGTACCAGTTAAATCTGCTCTTTGACCTTGTTCTCAGCAATCCACACCAATAGACACTGCTTTCCTTTGTAAAAAGGGAGTTTTATATGTACATGCAGCATTCCGAGGTTGCAGCTTCCTCCTTAGAGGCAAACTTCATGAGGCTCCCCGACCTGAGACAGTGAGTGTCACACATATCCATCGCCTTGGTTACTTCTTTTCTCTAGTGTGCTGGGGGCTTGTGCTGAGAGGCTCCACCAGCAGACAGTATCGCCGCAGTAGAGGCTGGTCTGGGCACAGGGGCGATTTCCTACCGAAACTGGGCATTTTTGAAAGGGACTAAGAGAAGCTTTTATGTCTCCCTCCTACAAGCCCAGTTTCTACTGAAGTGGAAGCGATACTGGAAATAAAGGCCACACTGATTTTCTTCTGCGAAAACACATTACCATGTTTAAAAAAAACAGCATTAATTGTGCTGTGGGAAATGTTTTTATTTACAAATACTCTGCGGCTCTGAAGTAACGGCACGATTACATTTCTCACAGCATCACTGGTACAGTTTCTGGGCTCCTTAGGGAGAGCAACGTGGGGATTTTTCTCCTGGGAAGAAAGGCAAATTGATCCCGACGGTACACTTGATTTCAACACAGTTCAAAATAGGTTGAAACAGATGATAACCCAGCAAATAAAATATTGGCAATTTAGCTAACACAGATGATGTTTTCTAGAAAACTATGGGAATGTAAAGGAGAACTTGAAAAATAACTGTAACTTGGACTGCTTTTACAATTTCCCAGTGGCTCACTCCCTCGTTTCCGAGTGGGAAACTGTGAAAAGGAACTGAAAGGAACAAAAGAAATTGGAATAATGTAGGAAAATACAAATATTACAAAGGAATAGAACAGGAGAGTGGAGAAAGGAGACAGCTTCCGTGTCCCTCTCTCGGAGACCCTCCTGTTCTCCCATCTGTGTGATCTACATTGACCCCGACGGCCAGCCTCGTGTTCCCCGGAGGCTGTGCCCTGGTGACAGATGACCTGTCTCTGGCCGTGGGCCACCTAGAATGCGCTTTCACAGGAGCAGGGTGGCGGCCGGGGACGCGGCGGCGGTGGGCGCAAGTAGCCCTTCTCTGGCTGCTCCCGCCTGGCGTGGTGATAATGGGCGTGGGGCCAGCGGTGACGGTGGAGCGCCTGGTGGACCTGGGCCCCCTCGTCGTCCTCTGAGACTCCCTTCTGCGAGCAGCAAAGAGCGCCCAAACGCTTCCGCAGACGCCGCCAGAGCTGGCAGTTGCCCGCCTGGAAGAAGAGGTAGACGAAGGGGTTGAGGGCACTGTTAGCCACCCCCACGAGGCGCAGCGCCACCGCTAAGTCCTCGGCTTCCCACTCTCCCACCGGCCCAGACGACCACGCGGTTGCCAGCCGGGCAGCAAAGTAGGGCAGTTCAAAGCCCACGAACAGCAGCGCGAGAGTCAGGCTCATCTTCATGCTCTGTACTTTGGCACGCGGTAGCGCGCTGTGGGCGGGGGCTCGGCCGGGACTCGCCGACTTGGGCGTCGCAGCAGATGGGGCCGGGGGCGGGCACTGCCACCAGGCGCAGATCAGGCGGCTGCAAGCGACGCCCAGGACTGCGACCGGTGCCGCGAATCCCGCGGCGGCCTCATAGAGCGCATAGACCTGCAGGTGCCAGCGCGGCAGAGGCGCGAAGATGCCGCGGCAGCGATGCTCTCCGGCCCAGGCGTGGGCGTCCGGGGACGCGGCGCGTGGCGCGGATGGGGCTCCCCCGCGCACCACGAAGACCGGGGGTAGGGCCAGCAGCAGCGCCAGCACCCAGCCCAAGGCGGCGAGGACGCGTGCCGGCAGCGGCGGGCCCTGCGGATGGCGCACGGCGTGCTGACGCTCGAGGGCAATGAGCGCCACTAGGTGGGCCGAGGCGCCCCGGCCGGATACCTGCAGTAGCTGCACGAAGCGGCACTCCCGGTCGCTCGCCGCCCGACGCGGCTCGCTCCACAGCCCCCAGGCCAGCTGCGACAGCGTGGTGCCCCCGCACGCGTATAGGTCGGCCAGGGCTAGTTGCACCAGCAGAAAGTCCATCTTGCGACGCTTGGGACCCGCCCATGGCCCGCCACCGCCACACAAGCGGCACAGTACCTTGGCGTTGCCGGCCACGGACACCACCAGGATAACCCCCAGGTACACGAGGTGGCTGGGCGGCCCGGGCGGCGGCGGTGGCGGCGGCGGCGGCCCGGGAGCCGGGACTTCCTGGCCGGAAGTCAGGTTGATACCCCAGCCCAGCAAGATGGGTACGGAGAGGTTGGGCGCCGGCGACACAGTTGAGCGGCTGAAGGGATACTCCATCCTTCGCCTAAAGGAAGAGTAAGTACCGAAGACAGTAGGCAGGGCGCGGGACAGCAAGGTGGAGGCGAGGCTGCTTGGGGCGCGATGCCAGGTCTGCCAGTTTCCATAGTTGAAAACGCACATGCATAGAGAGGAAGCTGGATTTGGGTAGATTTGCGCTTAGTTTTTTTATAGGTTGTCCTCGTCACTTGTCATTCGAACGTGGGTTGTACACTCGAGCAACACACATGATTCCTATTCTCCACCTTCTCCGAGCCTCCCCTCCCCATCCGTTCTCCCCTTCCAATCTCCGCCAAAGCCCCCCGACTGCCCTCGAAGGAGCCGCAGGCCGCTGAACTCTGGAACCTGCCCTGCTGGCTATTCTCCGGCAGAGCGCGTCTGGACAGAAGGTCGTTCTGCCGGGGCCGTTGTAAAGGCTCATGTTAACTGAGGACCAACGCACAAAAAGATGAAGCTCCCGACTGAGACTGTACCCCTCAAAGATGGTTTCATGATTGCCAGTAGGAAAAAAAAATAGTAAAGAAAAACTAGTTTTTGTTTCTCTTTTTCTTAATCCTCACCCAAGGATATATTTACTGATTTTAGAAATAAGGAGAGGGAGGGGATGAGGGAGAAGACTGGTTGTGTTCCGTACGCGCCCCAGCTGGGAATCAAACTTCAGCCTCGGTGTGTGCCCTTACCGGGAATCGGACCTCAGTGTTCCGGTGCGCTGACAATGCTCCAGCCAGCTGAGCCACCCAGCCAGGGCGGAACCAGTTTCGATGAATTAAAAAAAAAAAAAAAGGTTTGAGATGCTATGGATCTGCACTAGTAGGAGAAAAACAGAAACACAAGAAACCTAACAGCATTTTGAGCACAGAAGGTACCACTTGATAAAGATATGTCTTTCTCTGGCTAACAATGAGTTTTATTTAGTCTAAAAGTCAGGGGTGTTGTTGGGCAATTAGGAGTTGCGGTGGTTTGCAGACAGTTTCAAATCCTCTTTACTAGAAGCAGAGGATCACAGCTCCTTTCTTGGTGATGTAAAATTCATTTCATTAGTCTGAAGAGAGCAGTAATAGGTTTTATGCAAATGGTAGTACATGTATTGCTCTTCATCCAGTGTTGATGTGTCATCATGGCTTCTCATTCTTTGGATTCTGTTTTCCAGCAGATGGGAGATTGCTGCGGGGCGGAGGGACTACGCCTCCAATAAGCCCAGAGAAAAGGTGACTAAGAAAATAATAAAGTGGCCAATTTTTAAAAAAGAAATCCAAGTTAAGGAAACGGTTGAGACTAAATGCTGCCTTTTATTTTAGTCCTCCATCCTCAGGAAAAATTTGTTTTTTCCTGTTGGAAGCATCAATTTGTCGCTTGGACACCCTCCATGTTAGTCACTCTGGAAGTAAAATTCTTACACTTCCTGATCTGGGAGTCTGTTGGGGTTCACATTCCAAAGGCTGATTGGCACGTCAAGGTGCATGGGATCGGAGGGCTTGGTGGGTACAGACGGCAAACCTGCCAGCCGCTGGAGTAATCCCATTTCCTGAGCTACTGCCTTTGGCCAGAGACATTTCTCATTTTCATCATCATATTCCTAGTACCTAGCACTGGGCCTGCCTGACACATGGCAGGTATCTGTGAATTTGTTTCTAATTGATGGATATGTGATGTATTTCAGATAACTTTGAGCCTTGACTATAAATCTATCACTGAAGAAAAATAATCCCTTCCATACTTATGCCAGTATTATCCAGAGGAATCCAGAGGAGCCCAGGGGAGCTCTGGGGAGATGATGGAATAGCCATTCTTGGTGGAACATTTAAGAAAGAGGTAGAATGATAGCTTTGGGAAATCAAACTCTTGGCTTAATTTTCACATTTTTCCCTCCAGAAAGTTTTGCCCAGTTTCCTTTTCTGTGTAACATGTCTTCCCATCTTATGAGCTGTTTCTTTCTGGGAGCTCTCTCTGAGCAATACCCGTAATGTAGTGATTCTACTAGCCAATATCAGTTTAATGGTTTTCAAGATGGTTCTTGAAATAATTTGTTTCAAATATATTGAAGTGCTTTCATATAACAAAACAAGACTCTAATGGTGAAATTATATTTCACAGAACATTACTAAGACCTGGTAAAACATTAATTTCAAAATTATTAAAATAATACATGCACATTATTTTGAAAGTAAAATGGAACTGGAGGGCTGATAAAAATAAAGGGTTCCCTGTCCTGGCTGGTGTGGCTCAGTGTATTGAGCACTGGCCTTTGAACCAAAGGGTCACTGGTTTGATTCCCAGTCAGTGAACAAGCCTGGGTTGTGGGCCAGGTCTCATGTAAGGGACTTGTGAGAGGCAACCACACATTGATGTTTTTCTCCCTCCCTTCCCCTCTCTCTGAAAATAAATAAAATCTTTAAAAAATAAAAAATAAAGGGTTTCCTGTCACACATCCTGACTCCTTCCCCTCCACACATCCTCACTCCTTCCCCTCTGCTAGAGAGGACCAATTTAGATTCTGTGTGCTGGCATGTACTTCATAATTCTAAATAAGTGTGGCATGCTGTTTATTGATTCAGTGATTTTAGATATTAGTATCTTCTTATTAGATAAAATTCAAGATTTAGCTCTCACACCTTTACCTACTATTGGGACACACAGTACTAGTTTGTCTCAATACTGGTGATGTTTTAAGCGTGACATATATGTTTTAAAAAATAAATATTTATTTTATTATAAAAATAGTGTACATTAATTGCAGAAAAGTTAGACAATACAGATTAGCAACAAAAACCACTTCACAGACCACCCAGAGATGATCATTGTTATCCTTCAGACTATAATGACTACATCTATATATTTACAAAAATAGATCATACTATATATAATACTTTGTATCCTGCTTTTTTCCCTACTTAAAATTGCATTTGGACAACTTTCCCTGTAATCAGTAAAAAATGCGACATAATTATCTGTTTAATGTGAAGTGAACTGCAATGATTTAAAAAGCCCCGTATTTTTGAACAAAGGTTTTCCAGTTTGCAGTTTATAAATAATTTTGTGAAGAACATCTCTTCGCACACATTTTTCCATGCACATTCAATTACTCCCTTATAAAATCCTAGAATTGAAATTGCTAGGGCAAAGCACATGCATTTTTAAAGTATTTTAATACATGGTGCACAAGCAGTATATATGTATTTTTCCCTATAATCCAAACAGTGAGCCTCATCATTGTTTTTAATTTTTCTCACTCTCTTACATGAAAATACTGTGTGTGTTATTTCTTCATTTTTAAATTGAGAACCTTTTAAAACTCTCCAGGCTTGAAGGTGAGAGCCAGGCATCGATAGTTTTTAAACATACGCAGGTGATTCCAATTTGCAGCAAACTTGTGAACCATTGTTCCAGATGGGCAGTTAGTAAATAATGGCCCACAGGTTGAATACTGTGTTTTTAATCCACAAAGTTTCATGGGTACCCAGCCAAGCTAATTTGTCTATTGTCTGTTGCTGCTTTCATGCTACCAGGGCAGAACTGAGTAGTCGTCAAAGAGACCAAATGGCTCACAAAGCTTAAAATAGTATATGCCTTTTTCTTAGAAAAAGATAAAACAAAGAGGGATAGAGTCCCTTGTCAACTCTCCTCTCCAAGCTTTTGCTAGAATTTATTGTTTCTAGGTTCTGCTTTATTGAGAAGGCTGCTCCCTTTTACCCCATCCTGCTATGACCTGTTGTTAGTTTTCTCCTCCAATGTGATAACTGAAAAACTCTAATCCTAACTCCAATTAACTCAACAAGTACTAAGGTTCTACCATGTGCCAGGCACTTGGGATACTTTAGGAAACAAAAAGGAGAAAAGGCCATGACTCTATGGAGCTCTCATCCTAGATGGGAAGAAGGTGTGGGAGACACTATAAGCAAGCTAAATGTGTAAAATAAACTCTGAATTGGGTGGTACTGTTTTCAATGGAGAAAAATAATGCAGGGAAGCCCTTGTGAGAAGGTAGCCTTTGAGCACTGACCTAGGGAGGTAACAATTGAGCCACGTGGAAATTTGAGGAAAGAACTGAACTCTAGGCAGGAAGAACTGACAAGCACAAAGGGCTTGAGGTGGTACAGGGCTGGTGTGTGGGGGTACAACAGGGAGGTCCGTGTGGCTGGAGCAGAGTGAACAAAGTGGCAGTGTGGGTGGAGATGTGGTCTGAGATAGAACATCTGCCAGGATCATTTAGGGCCTTGAAGGCCAATGTAATGACTTTGACTTTTAGAGAGTAAGATGGGAAACCAGTGGAGGGTTTTGTGTATTCAGTGATGTAATCGGATATATTTGAACAGAATCACTCTGGTTGCTGTGGTGAGAATAGACTGAAGAAAACTGTGCAGAGACACAGGGAGACCTTAGAGGGCTATTGCAAAATTCTAGAACAGATTATGGTACATTGCAACAAAGTGGTAGCAGTGGAGGTAATAAAAAAATGAACCCCAAATACTGTCCCCAATCCAGTTGATAATTTGTGTTGGTTTCTCTCAGATTCTGGCATAATTTGTCTTGGTATTGCAAGTTTTTCTTACCCCCCACCCCCCGTGGTTGTTAGATACCATTTTCCATTAGATATTGTCCTTAAAATTCAATTGTACCTAATTATGATCCTGTTTAAAATATTACGAATGCCTGGTAAATTCAAACAATGGATTCCTATTAAAGGTTTGGGATAGAACAAGGTGGCTTATATTTATCTTCACATGCCTGTGTTTTCAGAACTCATCTCTACTGTTGTTTTATTTTTCCCTAAAATTGGTACATATGCCCACACATTAGCTATTTTATGTTTTTTAGTTTTAATTAGGAGATGGAAGGTAGCTTTGCATATTTAAATTTTAACCTTAATAATCTAAGATTGAAATATTTTTCTTCAAAGTTTTACTTTCAAATATACCTGAAGTGAAATTTATTTCTCATAAATTCATACATAACTACAGAGATAAGCTCATACAAATTCACTGAAGAAAAATAAAATAGAGGAGATAAACTGGCTTATAAATAAAACTTCAAAGGCAGTTGGAAAAAGGAATTTAGGTAAAATTATTATGTGCAAGTAAGCTTTTGTTTTACCTGGAAAATATTAAGATAGAAACTGAAAAACTACTACAAACAATAAGGTGGTTTAGTACAATGAACACATAGAAATAGAGTTTGCATATAAACAAAAATCAGAAGATATAATGGAAGAAAGATCCACTTAAAAGTAGCACCACCAACAGCAAATGATAAAACAACTAGGAATATACTCACCTCTGGCTGTGCATTAGGATCAGCAGCAGGAGAGCTTAATAAACAAAACAATAAGAATAAAACAGTGCCTGGGTGCCATACCTAGAATTCTAATTCAATTGGTATGGGGTTTAGGTGGCATTTTTAAAAGGTCCCTACTTTCCAAATACCTCTATGAAGAAACTGATTGGTTTCAGGAAACCTTAGAATACTATTGAATGTTATAACAGAGAACTTGAAGAGAGGGAAAAAGCATACTCTGTTCTTTAGAATAACCGAATATCAAATTCAATTTTCCCTAAACTTGGCTATAAATTTGTTATGATTTTATAAAAAGACTAACAGCATTTTCCATTTTCAAGACTAGATGAATTTTTTCTAAATCTGTATGGAAAAAATAAGTTAGCAAGAGTAACCAGGACAATTCTGAAAAACTGTTGCAAAGGGACTAGTATTGACTACTCCCCTAATAAATTAGGATGGTCCATTGCAAAACAAAAGAATGTTCTGAAAGGACCCGAATGAAAATGAGACGTTAGCATATGATAAAATGGTATTTCAAATCAATAGAGGAAAAGATTATTTAATAAAAGACGTGATATAATAAAGTCACATTTTCTTTTTTAAAATTATATTTTATTGATTATGCTATTCCAGCTGTCCCGATCTTCCCCCCTTTGCTCCTCTTCACCCTACACCACCCACTCCCTCAGGCGGTCCCCACACCATTGATCAGGTCGGTGGGTTGTGCGAGTGGAAGTTCTTTGGCTGCTCCATTTCTTATTCTGTGCTTTATGTCCCCGTGGCTATTCTGTGACTACCAATTTGTGCTTCTTAATCCCCTCACCTCTTCACCCATCCCCCCACACTCCCCGCGTTTGGCAACCATCAAAACACTCTCCGTTTCTATGATTGTGTCTGTTTCTCTTGTTTGCTTAGTTTGTTTTTTAGATTCAATTGTTGATAGATTTGTATTTATTGCCATTTTATTGTTCATAGTTTTAATCTTTTTCTTTAATAAGTCCCTTTAACATTTCGTATAATAATGGTTTTGTGAGCATGAACTCCTTTAGTTTTTTCTTGTATGGAAAAACTTGTATGTACCTGTTCTTCGATTCTAAAAGAGCTTTGATGGGTAGAGTAATCTTGGCTGTAGTTCCTTGCTTTTCAAGACTGAATATTTCTTGCCAATCCCTTCTAGCCTGCAAAATTTCTTTTGAGAAATCAGCTGAGAGTCTTATGGGAACTTCCTCTAAGTAACTTCTTTTCTCTTGCTGCTTTTAAGATTCTCTATTTTTAACCATTGGCATTTTAATTATGATGTGTCTTGGAGTGGGCCTCTTTGCATCCATCTTGTTTAGGGCTCTCTGTGCTTCCTGGACTTGCATGTCTACTTCCTTCACCAAATTAGGGAAGTTTTCTTTCATTATTTTTACAAATAGATTTCCAATTTCTTGCTCTTTCTCTTCTCCTTCTGGCACCTGCATGATATGAATACTGGAAGTCTTAAAGCTGTCCCAGAGGCTGCGTACACTATGATTGGTTTTTTTTGGATTTTTTCTTCTTCTTGTTCTTATTGGTTGTTTTTGCTTTCTTATGTTCCAAATCATTAATTCTTGGCTTCATTGACTTTACTGTTGTTTCCCTGTAGATGTTCTTTATTTAAATGAGAGTATCCTTTGTTTCTGACTGGATCTGTTTTTTTTTTTTTTTCCTGAAGTACCCAGTGAGTTCCTTGAGCATCCTTATAACCAGTGTTTTAAGCTCTGCATCTGATAGATTGTTTATCTCCATTTCGTTTAGTTCTTCTTCTGGAGTGTTGATCTGTTCTTTCATTTAGGCCGTGTTTCTTTGTCTCCTCATTTTGACAGCCTCCCTGTGTTTCTTTCTATGTGTTAGGTAGAGCAGCTATGATTTCCCTGTCTTGGTAGCATGGCCTAATGTAGTAGTCTTCTTGTAGTGTCCAGTGGCAGAGCCTCCCCTATCACCCAAGCCTGGTACTTGAGGTACACCATCCTCTTATAGTTGTACCTCGACCGATGTTGGCAGGTCAATGGGAGGTATTTACCAAGTGCACTCAGCTGCAAGGACTAGCTGTGACCACTGACCACCAACCTCCAATCTCTGTGGAGAATCAGCTGTGCACAGGCAGGGTGGTGGTGCTCTGATGTGGTCTGTAGCTGTCAATTAGGTTGCGCAGGCTCTGGCATTTCCCAGGTGGTGCAGGTTAAGGTCAGCCCTCACCTGTATTTTGGCTAGGGCTACCCTGCCTGATTTATATAGCAATCTGAGATGCCCACTACTTGTGTTGGGCTTGGGGATTTGCAGCGAAGCCAAGCTGTGAATCTAGGCTGGCTGCTGCTAGTGCCAGGCCTGGGGCCACACAGCAAGAAGTGGGAGCTCACTGAAGCCAGCTGTTGCTTGTTTGATAGGATTTAGGAAGTTGTGAAGCATAAGCCAAGACCCACCATTCACATGGAAAAATCATGGTTAACAGCCTCGGTGGAGTCTCAGGGGATCTCCAGGGTGGGGAACACAGTGTTAGGCAGGATGATGGAGTGTCCGATATGGCACTAGCTTGCTCTCTCTGTGGCACTGTCACAGGAGAGCTCAGAAAAGGGACAATGACCCCTGTCTTTTTGTTTGGGAGAAAGCTGTTCCCCAGCTCTCGCCTTGACGCCCAAAACTTCAGATTCTCCTCGTGTGCCACTGGTGCCTTTCAAGCTGCTACCCCAGAGCTGGAGCTCAGAGGGAGTGAGTCTAAGTCCATCTGTGTGTGGATTCTTTAAGGGAACTCCTTAGGACTCAAGAAGTTTCTCCCACTGACTCAATCCTCACAGGTTTTTGCAGCCAGAAGTTATGTAGACTTTTCTTCCTGGCCCTGGAACCCTGGGCCTAGTGTGGGGCTGGAACTCCTCATCCCCAAGATATCCCGCCCAAATTTTTATCCACTGCTCGTGGATGTGGGACCAACCTGTTCTGTCAATCCACCCCTCCTACCAGGTCTGGATGGATGTGGTTTCTTTAATTCCGTAGTTGTCAGACTTCCACTCAACTTAATTTTTGACAGTTCTGAGTGATGGCTGTTCTAATTTTAGTGGTAATTTTGATGTGGTTGTGCAAGGAGGCAAGCCATGTTTACCTACATTGCTATCTTGACCAGAAGTCTCGAAGTCGTATTTTCTAACCAATGGAACCAATGTCTACTCAGTGGAAAGTCAATTGGGTAGCCATACTATAAAACAAACTAAAGTTAGATCTCTCATTGGTAACCACTCCAGATGGGTCAAGGATCTAAGGATGAAAAACAAAACTCGAAAAGAAGAAAAGTGGGGAAGACCATTCTTTCTAAATATATATGACACAAAATCCCAGAGCTACAAGAGCAAATATTCATACATTTCATTGCATGAAAATACCAATTTCTGCATGTCAAAATATGACAACAAAGTCAAAAGGCACACTATATAAAGGAAAAAAAATATTTTCAGCTTCTTTTACAAAGAGCTAATATCTAAAGCATGCCTGTAAAGAAAGAGAAAGACCACTCATCAAAAGAAAAATGGGCAAAGAACAGAAAAATAGGAAAGGTCATAGTAAAGGAAATTCCAATGGTTATTAAATATACGTAAATGTGATATCCATTACTCATAAAAATAAAATAATATATATTTTTAAAAAACTTTTATTTATTGATTTTAGAGAAAAAAAGAAACATTGCCATGTTGTTCCACTTATTTATGCATTCTTTGCTTGCTTCTTGCATGTCCTCTGACTAGGGATCAAACCTGCAACCTTGGCATATTGGGACAATGCTCTAACCAGCTGAATTACCTGGCCAGGGCAGTAATAATATATTTTTAATCTATTAGGTTAGCGAAGGGTGTGAGGGCATACATTTCTGGTGAGAATTTAAGTTGGTATGATTTCTTTAGGGGATAAGTTGATAGTATTTTGTTAGATATTGGTCTTAACCCAGCAATTTCATTTCTATGGATCTACTGTTAAGTGGGGAAAAAAAAGAGAGCAAGATGCAGAACATTTTATGTAGTATGCTACCACTTGTATGCTGGGATAAAAGAATATAAAGTATATGCATGTGTATATGCATGGTGTGTCTCTAAAAGGAAACAGAGGCTGTAGTAGTGGCCTCCAGGAAGGGGAAATGGGTGGCTGGGGGACTGGGAAAGTAGGGAAACTTCAGTCTCACTGTTAATCCTTTGTACCTTTCAGAGTTTGTACCTTGTACATATATTACTGACTAAAAAAAACAGTAATAAAGTCAGCCTTATCCAGGTATCTATGTCCAATCAGATACTCCCATCAAAAAAACCCCAAAAAACCCAACAAATGGTCCATGTCCCATCAGATACAAATAACGCATCAGAAACCATCAGATACTCACAAATTACTATTTTATGGTTCATAAGTAATAGTCAATAATAGCTATTCTACATTTCATGTTTATAAACATGTTAAGAGGAACATAATTTTATATTCTACTATTTGCTTCCATCTTTTTAATACTTCCATTAAATTGTTAGAAGTTAGTAAGAATGCGATGTTAATACTAATCATTTTTGAAAACATAATTCTATAATGGTGGTTTTCTATTTTAAAATAGTGTACATTCTTTAAAAGTAAAAATCAGTAATTATTAAAATTAATACTTAAAACACATAATTAGTCATCTTTTAACAAGTTTCTATATATAGCTCTGGAACATTTTCTTATTTTTGTTCACTTTTTGGGGGGTAATATTGGTTTTAAGCCACTGATCAATTGCACTTTCATACTTCCTTGGTTCTTTCAGCCAGTCTTGATGCCACCTAAGATTTGCTATAACATTTGAATAGTTTTGCCCTACACTTTGTTTCCACTTGATAAACTGCTCTTTATTGTACTGGTGGACAGAAGCAGAAACTTTAGGGTAGTTTATAATGGAACGAAGCTTCTGATCCAAAGAATACACAATGTCTGGAAATTTTGTAGCAATATTTGTTAGTTCATCTGGATCTGAGGAAACATCTGAAAGAAAAAAAATAAATACCTGTCAAAATAATTATTTGCTACAAGAACATTTTTTTAGAATGTCATTACTCTGTGACAGAAAATGTATTAGAATTTATTTTTATTTTCAGTTTCTCTTAGTATAGTAAAATGGACCGTAAAATGGTAAAACAATATACCAAAAGTTAAATACCTCTTTAAATATATGTTCAAATTATCTTCCTTTCTACCATCATCTTCTATCCCATTTTTTCTTATCCATCCTTAGATGGCAGAAACAGTCAAACCCTTGTCACTAGTAAGCTGGCTTAGCCCTAATTCTTCCTGATTTAGATGCCTTGCTAACTTTGATGTGTAGGAAAAAAAAATAGTAATGTTTTTGTTGTCCTATATCAATAGCCCCAAACTAAAGAATATTTTGAGTGAATAATTTTGACATTAGTAACTGGGAAGGAAACTTAGGGATGAATTACTATTAATAATGGCATTAGCACATATTTTATGTGCAAAAAGGGTGCATGGGATGAGTAATACCTTAGTTATAATAATGGTGATTTAAAATTAATTCACAAAATAGTGAGACTAGCAGGCATTATTGTAGGGTGAAAGGAGGATGGACTTTGGCGTCAGACCAGGATTGAAATCCCAGTTCTGCCACTTCTTACCTGTGAGACCTTGCACAGGATCTGAATCCCTTGACCCCTGGCAATCTCTATCAAAATGAGGATTATTGTATCATCTTGTAGGGTTGGGGGCAACGTTAAATATATATGTAAAATGCCAGGCTCCATAAGATATAGGTGTTAATCCTCCAGGACAGCTGAAACCAAGGTATTGGCTACTGATTGGAAAAGATAACCATGAGTATTAGAAGATGCCTTGATCAGAGAAAAACAGTCGTTTAAATATTGAGTTCCAGATCAAAAGCTTTAGGGCAACTACTCTGCAATTCAGATGGTGATTTGCAAAGAAGCTGCTCCTCACATGGGCAACCTTTTGTAGATTGTCTTAGCATGAGAAGCAGCAGGAATTTATTTATTTAACGATAATTACTGGATCTCTTAGGCAACATTATGCAGGTCAGCTCATTACATATCATACTACACTTAAAAAAGGTATCTCACGCTCAGCTACCCTATGTCTTTTGGTGGGAGCATTTAAGATATTTACATTTAAGGTGATTATTGATAGAGAAGTATGTAATGCCATTTTATTGTTAGAATGTTTTCCTCTGCTTTTTTATTTTTTCTCTTTTTCTTCTTCTTAAAGCAAGCCCTTTAACATTTGTTGCAGTACAGGTTTGGTGTTAACAAACTCCTTTAGCTTTTTCTTGTCTGGTAAGCTCCTTATTTCTCCTTTGATTTTAAATGAGCCTTGCTGGGTAAAGTAGCCTTGGTTGTAGGTCACTGCTTTTTATCACCTTGGATATTTCACGCCACTCCCTTCAGGCCTGAAGTGTTTCTGCTGAGTGATCAGATGCTAGTCTAATAGGTGCTCCCTTGTAGGTAATTACCTGTTTTTCTCCTGTGGCTTTTAGGATTCTCTCCTTGTCTTTAAGCCATGTCATTTTAATTATGATATGTCTTGGTGTAGGCCTCTAGGTGCAACTTGCTTGGGATTCTCTGAGCTTCCTGGACTTGTGTGACATTTTCCTTTACCAGACTAGGGAAGTTTTTGGTCAGTATTTCTTCAAGTATATTCTTGATCCCTTGCTCACTCTCTTCTCCTTCTGGTGTTCCCATGATGTGGAGGTTGTTATTTTTCAGGTTGTCCAAAATGTTTCTTAAGCTCTCCTCATGCTTTTAAAAATTCCTTTTTCTTTTTGCTGCTCTGCCTGGGTGTTTTTTTCTACCTTGTCTTCCAAAACACTGATTTTCTCCTCTGCTTCATTTAACCTACTGTTTAGTCCTTCCAGTGTATTATTTATCTTGATACTGCATTCTTTATTTCTGACTTGTCCTTTTTTATGGTTTCTATGTCTTTTTTCATGCTGTTGAGTATCCTTATAATCATTACTCTAAATTCTCTGATAAACTGCTTGCCTCCTTTCATCTAGTTAGGGAGAATTCTTTTGTTCTTTCGTTTGGAGTCTCTTTCTCTGTCTTCCCATTTTGGCTGCTTCTTTCTATTTTCTGCCTTAGATGTTAAACTAATCGACCGTTAAACCGATCAGTTGTTAATCTAATCAATCTGTAATCAGCACTCAGGCTTAAGCAGCACAGGGTGGGGCCGAATAATTCCTGGGAACAGGGCTATTGCTTCCCCTCAGGCTAATGCCATTTAGATAGGAGTGCTGTGCCTCAGAAAAATGGCTCTGCAGTATGGGAAACGACTCAGCAGAGGGATCCTGGTAGCTGTTCCTTCAGTTCTCTCCCCGGAGCCACCAGCTCCAGACTCTCCTCAAGCATCTCTACTCCAACCTGCCCTCCCTTTGCCTGAGCCCAGGGTAAGTGGCTGGAAATGAAATTTAAAAAAAAAAAATTTATATATCATGTTTATTCTATTACAGCTGTCTCAGTTTTTCCCCCTTTACTCCCTTCTACCCATCCCACCCCTACCCCCTGCTCCCACAGTCAATTCCCACTCTGTTGTCCATGTCCATGGGTCATTCATACATGTTCTTTGTCTAGTCCCTTCCCCTGCTTTCTACCATTGTCCTCCTTCTCCATCCCCTCTGGTCAATTTCAGTCTGCTCCATGCTTCCATGCCTGTGGTTTACTTTGTTCGTTAGTTTATTTTGTTGAATAGAATCCACTTATAGGTGAGATCATATGGTATTTGTCTTTCATCAACTGGCTCATTTCACTTAGCTTAATATTCTCCAGTTCCATCCATGTTGTCACAAAAGGTAGGAGGTCCATCTCTCTCTCTCTTTCTTTTTTTTTTAAATGTCTAAGTTCATTATAAAATATTAAAAAATTTAAAACCATTATATAGTCTCAGCAATTAAACCAATATGACACCAGCACAAAAATAATCAAGTAGATCAGTGAAATATATTGAGCATTCTAGAGACAAATGTATCTAACAGTGTAATATATGATTAAATTGATATTTCAAATCAATGGGTAAAGTAGGGCTTATTCCACAAATAAGGTACATGGACCACTATTACTTGAAATAAAACAAATATAGAGCCCTATTTCACACAGTATACAAGAAATATTCAGGTGAGTTAAAAATCAATATGTAGAATCTAAGGAGTTTTAGGAGAAAATACAAACTAATATTTTTCTTACCCTGAAGTAAAATATTCAAACCCAGAAGCTATAAAGTAAAATATTGACACTATGACTATATTAAACATTTAAGACTGTACAGTAATATACATATAAAAAAGGTTAAAGGACAAGTAATACAATAAGAATGTATTTGCAACACATCTAAAAAAGGGTTAATTTTTTTTTTGAAAAAATTCTACAAACATTTAATAAAAAAATGGATAAAGAATACCAAAGTCATTTAAAGCTTTTTAAAAATAATAGAAATAGGCAAGAAATATACAAAAAACAGGTTTAGTTTCAACAGATAATGAAAGAACAATTAAAAGAACACCTTATTGCCATAATCAGATTAATAAGTATTAAAAATACTGGTAATATCAAGTATTGGCAACTGTGAAAGGAACTGGGTATTCATAGACTCTTTTCCTTCATCTTGAAGGAGTCCCTTTAGCATATTTTGTAGTGCTGGTTTGGTGGAGGTGTATTCTTTTAGCGGTCTTTTGTATGGGAAATTCCTTATTTCACCTTCCATTTTAATTGAAAGCCTTGCTGGGTAGAGCAGTCTTGGTTGCAGGCCTTTGCTTTTCCTTACTTGGAATATTTCTTAACACTCCCTTCTGGCTTTCAGTGTTTCTGTTGAGAAGTCAGGTGCTAGCCGTATCAGGGTTCCCTTATATGTTACTAGCTCTTTCTCCCTTGCTGCCTTTAGGATTCTCTGTTTGTCTTTGATATTTGCCATTTTAATGATGATGTGTCTTGGAGTGGGCCTCATTGAGTTCCTCTTGACTGGGACCTCCTGTGCTTCCTGGACTTGTGTGACTTTTTCTCTCCTCCAATTAGAGAAGTTTTCCATCATTACTTTTTCAAACAGGTTCTCTATCCCTTCCTCATCCTCTTCTCCTTCTGGTATCCCTTTTATATGGATATTACTACGTTTCAGGTTGTCCTGCATTTCCCTAAATACCTCTTCATTCTTTCTGAGTCTTTTTCATTTTCTTGCTCTTTCTGGGAGCTTTTTTATACCTTGTCCCCTACCTCGCTGATTCGATCCTTGGCTTCATCTAGCCTGCTTTTGATTCCTTCTACCGTGTTCTTCAATTCAGACATTGTATTCTTCCATTTCCTCTTGTCTCTTACTGATAGTTTCTATGTCCTTTTTCATGCTGATAGGTTTGCAGTAAGTTCCTCATAGTTTCCCTGTAGTTTTTTGTAATTCTCTCTGAGTTCACTGAGCTCATTGAGCTTCCTTAGAAGTTTTTTAGAATTCCATATCTGATAGTTTACTTGCCTCTATTTCATTTAGTTCGCTTTCTGGGGATTTCTCCTTTCCCTTTGAGTGGGGGTATTTCTTTGTCTTCGCATTATTTGTGAGACTCTTTTTTTTCGCTTCTGCTTCTTAAGTTGATCTGTCTCAATTTCCTGACTTTGTGGTATGAACTTCTATAGTAGGAGACTGCTGTTTTTACTTTCTGGATCTGCCTCTAATGATGTCAGATGTCGTTCCTGTCTGACCTTAGGCAGTCTGTTCAAGACTTCCAGCAATCTACTGTCTGTGGCTGTCTCCTTCAGCAGTTAATCTAGTCACTCTGCATTCAGAAGGCCACCTTAGACAGCTCAGGGCTGGGTGGAGACCTTCCTGGGGGTGGGGTTATTGGGTCCTCTCATGCTGCTGCCGTATGGGGGAGGAGTCAGCACTGGGATCCTGCCGTCTACTCTGTCCGTTCTCTCCTTTAGCCAGGAGATCTCCTTTAGCCTCTGTGCCCCCTTTAGCCAGGGATCTACTATCTGTGGCTGCCACTCTGCGCTCAGCAGGTGACTTAGACAGCAAAGGACAGCAAAGGGGTGGAATCCCACCTGAGGGTGGGGCTACTGGGTCCTCTGACACTGCTGCTGCTCAGGGGGAGTGGTCTCTGCCTGAGCAAGATGGCTGCTGCTGCATGGGGGATGAGTCAGCACCGAGATCCCGCTGGCTACTCTCTCATTTCTCTTCCCAAAGCCTCCTTCCCCAGTCTCTCCTCAGGTGTCTCTAGCCCACTCTGCCCCCACCTTTGCCAGGGACCAGGGTAAGTGGCTACAAATAAAAATTTATGCGTTGGCCCTTTAAATGGTTCTTTGCGTCTCCAGCCGCCAGTTTCTGGGAGAGAGCAACCATGACGCTTTTTGCAGCTGGCTGTTTTCTGTGTACTTTTTGGGCTCTGGTGCTGTAGGCTAGAGATCCCCCCTTTTGGTTTAGACCCTGCTCTTCTTGGGGGGGATCCAATTGGCCGTTTCAATATCCTTCTGGTGCTGCTGCCCATGGGCGCCCCTCTCACTCCTTACCAGTTACATTGCGCTAAAGCTGATTCTTCTGTCTCCAAGGTTACGAGGCTGCTCTCTTGCTTTTGTTCAGTTGTTTGTTCCAGGTGATTTCTCCACAATTTAGTTGTTATTCCAGGTTGGTCCTGGGAAGAGGTCAGTGTGACTTCTACTCACTCCTCTGCCATTTTGATTCTTTTGCAAATGAAATTTTTTGATTGGCCCTTTAAGAGGTTCTCTGCATCTCTAGCCATCTCTCCCTGGCAGACAGAAACCCTGCTGCTTTTCACAGGTGGATGTTATCTGGGTTTCTTTCTGGCTTTGGTTCTATAGGCCAGGGAGCCTAGTTTGGGGTTTAGACCCCGCGCTTGTCGGCGAACTCCAGCTGGTGAAATATCCCTCTGGAACTTCAGTTGTCATCCATGGGAGCCTAGCCAGCCCTCTTGTGCCTTTCCCCAATCCCGCCTATCAGTCTTGTTGTGGTGTAGGGGTTTCTTCCGTCTGTCCTTGGTTCTAAGATTTCTTTACAGCTAGTGTTCAGATGGTTATTCTGGATGAGTTCTCTACAATTTAGTTGTAATTTCAGGTGGGTCCTGAGAGGAGGTTAGTATAGCTTCCACTTACTCATCTCATTCACAATTGCTTCAAAAAGAATAAAATACCTAGGAATAAACCTAATCAAGAATGTAAAAGAGCTGTACACGGAGAATTATAAGACACTGAAAAAAGAAATTGAAGAGGATAAAAATAAGTGGAAGCACATACTGTGTTCATGGATAGGAAGAATTAACATCATTAAAATGTCCATACTATTGAAAGCAATCTACAGATTCAGTGCAATTCCTATTAAGATTCCAATGACATATTTCACAGAACTAGAACAAATATTTAAAAAATTTATATGGAACCAGAGAAGGCCCCACATAGCAACAGTGATCCTGAGAAAGAAGAACAAAGCTGGAGGAATCATGCTACCTAATATCAAACTATACTACAGGGTCATCATAATCTAAACAGCCTGGTACTGGCATAAAAACAGATGCAAAGATCAATGGAACAGAATAGAGAATCCAGAAATAAATCCACACCGTTATAGTCAATTAATATTTGACAGAGGAAGTAAGCATATACAGTGGGCTAAACATAGTGTATTCAATAAATAATGTTGGGAAAACAGGACAGATGCATGCAGAAAAATGAAACTAGACCATCTTCTTAAACCACACAGAAGAATAAATTCAAAATGGATCAAAGACTTAAATGTTAGACCTAAAGCCATAAAAATCCTAGAAGAAAACATAGGCAGCAAAATCTTGGATATTGCTTGTAGAATTTTTTTATCAGATGTATCTCCCCAAGCAAGGGAAACAAAATAAAAAATAAACAAACGGGACTACATCAAACTAAAAGATTTTTGCACAGCAAAGGAAAACATCAACAATATAAAAAGATTACCCACAGAATGGAAGAACATATTCACTGATATATCTGATAGGGGTTGATATCCAAAATTTATAAAGTACTTACAAAACTCAACACCAAAAAAACAAACAACCCAATTAAAAAATGAGCAAAGGACCTGAATAGACACTTCTCCGAAGAGGACATACAGATGGCCAACAGACATATGAAAACATGCTCAACCTCACTAAGCATCAGATAAATGTAATTTAAAACCACAATGAGACACCATCTCACACTTGTCAGAATGGTTATCAATAAATCAACAAACAACAAGTGCTGGTGAGGATGTAGAAAAAGGGGAACCCTTGTTCACTGTTGGTGGGAATACAAACTGCTACAGCCACTGTGGAAAGCAGTGTGGAGATACCTCAAAAAACTAGAAATGGATCTGCCTTTTAACCCAGCAATCCCACTTCTGGGAATATATCTGAAGGAACCCCAAAACAGCAATTCGAAAGAACATAAGCACCCCTATCTTCATTGCAGCATTATTAACAGTCAACAAGACAGAGAAGTAGCCCAAGTTTCCATCAGTAGATTAGTGGATAAAACAACTATGGGACATTTACACAATGGAGTTCTACTCAGCCATAAAAAAGGAGAAAATTTGCAACAGTATGGATGGACCTGGAGAACATTATGCTAAGTGAAATAAGCCACTTAGAGAAAGACAAATACCATATGATTTCACTCATATGTGGAATCTAATGAACAAAAGGAACTAACAAGCAAAACAGAGACAGACTCACAGATGGAGAGCAGATGACAGTTTAGGGGATGGAGGGATGGCGCCAAAAGGATGAAGGACTCATGGGCGTGGACAACAGTGGGTGACTCTGGGGGAGTGGGGTGTAAGGGGACTAAATGGTAATGGGAAAAATACAATTAGGATTAAATTTTAAAAAATATACATAAAAATCAACAATTTACCAAAGAGTTGAGGCAGTACTGAAGTACCATCAGAGTAGGCTATATACTTCCACTGGTTAGTTCGCAGCATGTAGGTGGAAGCATTCACATTGCATCCATGAAATTCACTCAGAATCCAGGGCGGATGTAGGTTTTTGGATTTACTCTCATTCTTAAATATTTCTGATGATAATGGCAACAAAGAGTATCCACTCAGGTTCTGAGGCAGAGGAATTCCAGCAATATCTATAACACATAATACACTATTTTAAAATAACTCATTTTTTAATTTGTTAGATATTCATAAATGACATCATTAAAAGTCATGGAGACTAGAGACTATATGGGTTTTGTAAATAGACTGTCTGGAGCCAAGTGTTTACTAGCCATGCTTGTGCATGTTATTAACTACTTTGAACCTCAGTTTTCTCATTTGTAAAAGGGTAATAATAGTAATGGCACCTGTATTTCATAGGTTTCAATATGATAATTATGTAAAATTCTGAGACCAGTGCCTGGCATAAAGGAAACCCTCAACAAATATTAATTAATATTATCAGTCCTTTATTTCTCAGTGACTAAATAATCACTGTTGTTCCTCACATTTGTACCATGAGATAGTCATAAGAACTATATAAGAAAGGGACTTGTTCACCACATATGTTTGCAAATAATGGTTAAAATTAAATAGGTAAATTTACTGTAGATATATATTTACTGCTATGTATCATAAACCTTAAGAGGTGGTATATACTAAGCCCTGTGTCCAGAGTTATTTGATGGCAGAACTTTTTTTTACCTCAAAGTAGTACCTTGAGGAATTCGTATTTTATAGAACATATGCTGGAAAATCCTAGGTTATATTGATTTAGGGAAAAATATTTTTTTTCCTCATCAAACATAGACATGTAAGCCATAGCATAAGAAATGTCTAGCTTATAAAGTGGTTGTTAAAAAGAGGTATTTTTAATGTAGCATAATTTAAAAATTACTTTTAAGGTATTTTTCTTTAATTCAAACTATGTTTTTTCTATGGAAAAATTACCATTAATTATGGCTGGGTACTTGGGAGAGTTCCAAAATGAGTCTGTAGTTGCCCTCTCTTGCCCTTTTCTGGTTTCAATGTTCTATGCTTTCATGTAAAATTAAATATTTCCAATGAAAAATGGAAATAATATATCTGCATTGCTAGAAATTAAACAAAATTGAATAGGAAAGTTAGTCTGACTATAAGTATTTGAGGAGAAACAAGTTAATTTAAGGAGAATAAAGAAATAGAAAAAGATCTCTGTAAGTCTTCAGAAGGTACCTGTTTTACATATAACTTAATTAAAATTTTCATATCTTCTATTTCTTTGCAAGGGGCATATTGCAAGTACTAATCTTCTCCCAACCAATCATAATGAGGGCATTTTGGGGAAAGAAAGAAAAAGCAAGAGAGCAAGAAGTAAAGCAAGAAAGAAAGAAAAGAACTACAGATCTCGTATCACAGAAATGTACATTTGAAACCTATATGATCTTATTAACTAATATCACCCCAATACATTTAATTTTAAAAAAGAACTATTTCAGAGATAATTGGTTAAAAACAGGAAGCAGGAGGAAAGATATTGAAGAGAACATGCATGAGAGAAAGGAACTACCCAAGATGAAACTAATTGCACTACAAGACAGATGGCAACTTCCTGTAAAGTTGGCTGTAAGGAAAGGCTGGCCCTGGGTCTATTATGTGTGTCAGCCATCAGGTGGCACCACCAGCGAGCGAGGCACAGGAAGGAGAGAAGAGGACTTTGAAGATGGTTGGGAAGCAGGGACCAACTGACATAAATTCATGACTGGGAAGTTCCTGCATTTAGCATTTTAATAACCTTTAATACTTAGACATACCTTATTTCATAACCATTCTTAGCCTAAGTTTTCCTAAAGAAGCTTGAAAGCCTAAGAAAATTTACATGATTTTCCTGTGTTTATATGAAAAGTAGTAAGCTAGGATAATAGTACATTTAAGCAAATTTTTTTTTCACTTATTCAACAAACTAGGTTCTATTCTATGAGTAGGAAAAAACAATGGACAAAACAGATAAGCTCTCTTAGAGCTTACCTTCTAATTGGGGAAGACAGAGAAATATGTCAGATGGTGGTAAAAGTAATGAAGAAAAATAAAGCAGGATAAGGGAGATAGAAAATGATGGCAGTTATGTGTTTATGTGCTGTTTTATATAGTGTGATGGAGGAAGGCCTCTCTAATGAGGTAACACTTTAACAGAGACCTGTGGGAAGGCTCAAGGGAGCCCTGTAGATATCTGAGGGAAGGGCACTAGCTCAGAGAATAGAAAGTGTAAAGGCCTGGAGGCAGGAACCTGCTCGGTTCATCCCCAGACACCAAGGTGTCCTCTAAGGCTAGAGCAGAGTAAGACGTAAAATTGTAAAAGGTGAATTGGGGAGAGGAAGAGGTCACGTTGGACTCCTCTGCCCAGTTAGAGATGTTGGGTTTTACTCTAACGAAAATGGGAAACCAGTAGAGGATTTTCAGCAGAGTTGTGACATGGTCTCACACTAACTACTGTATGGTGGACTGATTAAAAGTGAGTATAAGGAGAAAGTAGGAGTTACGAAGCTATATGACAGGAGTCCAGGCAAGAGATAATGTGATTTGTTTCTAACTTATTATTGTTAATAATAAGGTATATTATTAGCAGTGGAACAATATACCTTTGTAAATTGATGTTGAATAAAACCCATGTCAAATATCCATACTCTTTTATAAATATCTTATGTCTTTATTAACTTTTCTATGCCTAAGGAAACTGCATATTCATTTCTCATATATTTATCAATAATTTTCTTACAAGGATTTTAGCTTAAACTGCTTTTCAAAAAGCTCGATGATCTTTGTGTAAAGCCATTTTCCTTATTTTTTCTTCTAGCAGATTTGGATGAAGAGGGAAAAGGTTATATTTCTTCCTGACCATATGAGTAGATAAGGAATTAGACTGGTATGACAATGATCCAAACTATGTGCATTTTAAGGGCATGCCTAAGAAAAATAAAAAATATTAATGATACAAAATATAACATTTAATTTTTTACCATGTTCCAGTCATAGTTCTAAACCATGGAAGAGCCACTATTATTTCCATTTCATTCATAAGAAAATTGAAGACCTGAGATATTAAGTAACTTGCCCAAGGCCAAACAGTTGGTAAATACTGAAGGAGGAATATGAACTTAGGCAGCCCAGGATCTCTGATTCTTCAGTACTACATCACTGTCTTGCTTTGCTGCAGTTATTCGATTTCACAGTAGTTTTCAGCCAATAAAAACAAAATGGTCTATACTAATTTGCAACAGGAAATGAGGATTCCCTTTTGCCATTTGTGACAGCATGGATGGACCTAGAGGGTATTATGTTAAGTGAAGTCAGTCAGTCAGAGAAAGACAAGTACCATATGATTCTACTCTTGTGTGGAATCTGAAAAACAAAATAAATGAACAAATCAGAACAGACTCATAGATACAGAGAACAAAATGATGGTTGCCATAGGGAAGGGGACTAGGAGGACTGGGTGAAAGGGTGATGGGATAGGAAGTACAAATTGGCAATTATAAAAGAGTCATGGGAGTGTAAGTACAGCATAGGGAATATAAATAATATTGTAGTAACTATGGTATCAGCTGGGTACTAGACTTATTGGGTGATCGTAAGTTATATAAATATCTAATCACTGTGTTGTACATCTGAAGCTATTATAATAATGTATGTCAACTATAATTGAAAAATAAAAAATAAAATAAATAAAAACAAAATAGTCTATGGAGAATGCCCCTGCCAACCCTCCACTAAGATCTGGTAACAATGAGGGTTTTGCGGTTTAAATCACTAGCAATTAAGCATTCTTTTAAACATAACTGTGTTTTAAGGTAATTAGATTTTCACAATGCAAAAAAATCTGGCTTTATTTTTATTTTCAGTTATAATTGTTTCTGGTACCATTTTACTATCAAAAGGATGCTGATTTGGACAATAAATTAGACTTTATCTCAATAAGCAAACAAACACAACAAAAAAATTCCTGTTCATATAGTTTTTAAAACCTACATTTTCTTTTTAATAATACATGGAGGTCATTTTCACTTATTATTTCATCTTCTAAAATAAAGTTGACTATTTTTTACCCACTCTATTACTACTATATATCCATACTGTTTCTACTTTTTAACCAGAGATAAATCTTTCTGTATATCTATAGTTTATTTTCTAATATTAGAATTTTAGAATTGTACATGGGTGTGCACATTTTGAAAAATAGTGCATACTGTTTTATCTCGATTGTAAAACAGAAGATTTGAACCCAAGGCAAATATAAACAATACTTAAAGAAAAGTGATTTAAACATTGCTTATTAATCAACTAACATATAAGGTGATAGATAGGATGAGTAGGAACAGACTAGGATATTTTACAAAGTTTTGAACAGTGGAAGAGATGCTGGAGGAACTGTGTGAGGTCCCAAGGTGCCTACTTTGAAGGCATCATTGTCCTATGTACAATATTTCTTTGTATCTTGTAACTTCCTCAATAAACGCCCCTATTTTTCATAGTACATGACTGGATACTTTCTGGACAGACTTGTACATATCATATCTATGAAGTTATGAACCTGAATATCTTATGTGGCTTATTCCATAGTCATATCCTGATGTGATGAACACAAGAAAGTGAAGGCCAAGGGAACCTGAGGAATATTATCCTCATATTTCAGATAATGGATTTGACTCACAGTTAAAGGAGCTGCTCAAGGTTAAAAACAAGTCAGCAGGGCCTGACTACTTTGCTTATTCATTCTCCAGCATTATTACAAATAAAAATTTATAGAATTACATTACTTACCAAGCATAGTCGGAAAAATATCCACAAGAGAAACCATATTTGATACTTGTAGGTTGGCCTGAATCCCTGGTCCCATTATTAAGAGTGGAACATGGGCACTAGCTTCGTACATGCTCATTTTATAAAACTGACGGTGTTCCATGGCCAGCTCTCCGTGGTCTGAGGTATAAATGACAATAGTGTTCTCAAGAAGGTCTAACTGGTGAAGAGCCAAAATAATTTCACCTACAATATAATCAAGATAAATCTTAATTAGCTTTTAATTAATGTTTTATTCTATCATTATAAAGTTTGTAACATCTCTATGATTATCATAATACTTCTTAACGTCTGGTATTATTTACTGCTCTTAAGTAAATAATACCAAGTTTCATGTGCCTCTTCCTCAATTTATAGACAAAAGAGAGGAAGGAGAAAGTATAATGCCTATAGGATGGTTTCTTTTTTTGAAGATCATGCTGGCATGCTTTCTATGTTCCTATTGGAGAGTAGGGGGAATTGATTGCCTTTTAGTGACTTGAAAGAAAGAATAAAAACCACAAGTCTGGACATCAGCACTATACATGTCTCAGATAATGAAAGGGTTGACATCACATTGACACGCAATTCCTGCCTAATGGGAGGTGGTAAAGAGGGGTCAGAACTCCTCTTCTGTGCTACCCTTTTCCCAAATCCACAACTGCCAAAACTTGACCATGAAGGTGGCAGAGGGTTACGGAAATCCCATGTTTGAAGAAGGGCTGGAAGCAGTACAAACAGTATATGAGTGTGATTTAGCATATTCCTGGACAGGGAATGCCTGCACAGTAAAATTTCTCTGGTCAGTCCCTGTTCCTTTGTGTCCTGAAACTTCCTCCTCATTATAATTAAGAGATCATTGTAAGGCATAGTCCAGAGAGAACAGTCTTCCCTATTTGGGGAGTTCCTTAATCTGGGATACAGAGTGCTGTATTATTTAAAAAATAAAATAAAAAACAAAACAAAAAATGACAGGTGATTCAGAGGTCCAGTCAGAAATGAGACCCAGTGCTCCGTGGAGTTACTGACGGAGTTCTGACCATCGGGGTCTTTCAACTGGACAACTGTAATTGCTTCCCAATTGGCCTTCTTGCCTGCAGTCTGCTTTGCTTTCCACGGTATTCCTTGTACCACTCTAGTGGATACCTTTCTAAAATTTCTGATCATGTCACACCCAGTTTAAACCTTTTTCACAGCCTCCCATCATTTAATTCTTTAGCATGACACACAAAGCCCGTCTGCTCTCCGAGCTAAGTACCCTCAAACCTTTAACTTTTACAATTAGTTCAGACTTTCCTGCCTTCTATGTCAAATGTCTTTTCTCCCATCGACTGCTTAGCAAATTGCCATTCTTCCTTTATGACCCAGTTCAAGCGTTTTCCCCTGGTGAAGCATTCCCTGCTCCTCTAGGCAGAGTGAATCACTCTGTCCTCCAAGACCCCACGGCTTGTGCACTGCTGTAGTTACAATAATGTGTTACAATTGCTGGTAAATGCTTACAGAGCTTTTACTATGTGGCAGGCACTATGAATGCAAAGCTAGGCACCTAAGATGCAATGTTGAATAAGACCGAATGTCCCTGCCCTCATGAAGCTCCTATTTTTCAAGGGAAATGGACAATAAACAAATAAATAGAAAAAATAATTAAAGATTATGATGTAAGCAAACAAGGTATCGGGTGGGTAGGGTGATGGGGAGGGCGTACTAACTCAGAGTGGTTGGGAAGACATTCCTGTGGAGGTGACACCTGAACTGACAGCTGAAGAGTGACAATAGTCAGCCATGTAAAATACAAAGGGAAGAGCGTCCCAGGCAGAGGCAACAGCGAATAGAAGGCCCTGAGGTAGAGTGCGCGCCTAGAGGGTTTTTAATTAATACATAATTTCTTGATAACCCTCACCTTAATACTACTAGCGCCTCACATAGTGCCTGATTGCTAGGAGGCACAAAATGTTGAACAAGTACTGTGAACAGTAATAAATAGTATTGTATTTGGTGACCAAACTAGTTGTAGATTTAACAACAAGGATACAATGTATTTCATAACCGTTGCAACTTGAAGTAGGCCACTGCACTTTTTCCCCTGAAGAGACTTCAAGAACAGTATCCCCACAATCCCTGCATAACATTATATACTATTTCGCTTTAGTAGATACGGATGAATGGACAGCTGCAAACATTCAAGAGATTCCCAGGATGCAAATGGGTGACTATCACTAATATCAGAAAATACATAAATACAATTCAACATTTGTATGTATTTTAAGATTAAAGAAACTTACTTAAAATCTTGCTTGCATTTTAAATTAAGTAGTTGGAAAATCTTTAAGACTTTTAATACAGACTATACTTGCTATATGATAAATAACTTATCCATATGGCTGTTTTGCTTCCTGTTTTATACTTTTCTATTTTTGCATAATGAATGCTTTTTAAGAAATAGCCATTCCCATACTTTGCTAAGGAAATTATGCTCTATTCCACTGTGCAGCACAATAAATGGTATGGTTTTTTTTGAAAAGAACTTGTTATAAAAGTATGTTTTTTAAACTAGGGTTTCTCCACCTGAAGTGGAAACTGCCATAACTCTACAAGTGAGTAGGCAAAACACTTTCCTGACAATCATTTTACAGGGACAGGTTTGGTTTTGAGTTGAATTAGAGAAGGAAATTCACTATGATTCTGGACCAGAATATAGGTGGGGAAACTGACGTCACCCCTAGTTAAGCCTTGCTCTGAGGGGCCTGAGGAGAAGTTTTTGTTTTGTAGTTATTACAAGTCTGGGGGAAGTCACAAGACTCTACAACTAAACTGTCTCATCTCCTTGAACCTAAGCTGATTACAATCACCTGTCACATGTGTATCTGTGTTTTACTGAACACAGGCATACTTAGGGATGTTTCAGGTTATGTCGTACACCACTCAATAAAGTTGTAATCTTTAGTTTGTATAAAATGTAACATCTATGAAGTGCAATAAAGAGGTATGCCTGTACTCAGTACTGATTAAAGCTGGTAAAAGGCTTTGTTTAAAGCAGATGGTATAGCTTTCTATGACCCTTTCTTTGTATATGAACAAATCTAAGCATTTATTAATTTATGAATAATTAAAATGGAAAAGGGTTTTAGTCTACTGTTATTAATGAAAATTATCCAATTTTTATATGTGTCAAGAGCCTTATAATCCTAAATCTGAAGTACCTAAGCAACTGATAAAAGAAATTATCTCAGGATGTTCATACAAGTCACCAACCAGCATAATCATAGTTTCTTGGGAAAATATTATACATTTTCTTCATGTAATTGCTAATTATTATACCACCTACCAAGCATGGCATCTGTCTCAGCACACATAGCGTAATAAAATGCTCTAATATTCTTAATTTCTTTTTCTGTAAACTTCCCAGTGCAGTTTTTTGTATAAGAAGAGTAATAGTCTATAGGGTGCATTTCTGACAGAGGCAACCACTTTGGGATTTTGATGGCATCATAAGACACCTAAAAGGGGAGGAAAACAAAGTAGTAATGTCCCTCTCATCCAATAAGTATATTTTAATTATTTAAGATAGTAGAAAAGAATGGTTATGAATTATGTACAGGAAATACTAAATCAAATACATAATTTAGGAAAAAAGTTAATATTCTCAGTAGTAACAAAAGTTATATATATTAATATTTATATATAGTGAGATAGTTGTGAAAATTTTTAAAATTATACATGTCAATGAAAATAACATGAGCTGTATTAGACAGCATCTTAGTACAGAGAAAGGGTCTAAGCACTTTAGAGTCGTGTGATCAATTCAAATTTCAGAATCAACAACCTAAGAATGGAGACTCCTTTTCTCCAATAGTTTACTAGTAAAAATGACACCATATAGTGAGATAGCCAATTGTTTGTTAAAAATAAATACAACTTTTTCAGAGAAATGCTTAGTTTTGATGAAAACAAGACAAAATTTAAATCATATATAACTTTTAGTCACATAACCTTAAAAAGTTCAAGTATCTACGTATTATTTACTTCAAAGTTATTTGAGTCATTCCATTAGGCTTGTACTAACTCCAAATGAATTTTTAGAGATGGAGCCAGTTAGAACTTTTTAATAAGACATGATGTATTTGAAACTTTGACAATATTTCCTTTAAAATAGGGTGCGCTAAACAGTGTTTCTGATTAGAATTTGTTTTTTTAAATCCTTACCTGGGGATATGTTTACTGATTTTAGAGAGGGAGGAAGTGAGACAAATAGAGAAACATCAATCTTTTGTTTCTCCTACGCGCCCTGACCAGAGATTGAACCTATAACCTTGGTATGAGCCCTGACGGGGGAATCAAACCCGCAACATTTTTTGGTGTACAGGACGACATTCCAACTGACTGAACCACCCAGCCAGGGCCTGAGTAGAGTTTTTAAAGTAAGTTAAATCTGATTTAAGATGACATGTTTCAAAACTCAGGCAGTCTTTCCTATGAATGGTTCAGATATGCACAGATTTCAGTTACCGCGGTTTAGTTAGGCAACACCAGTTTCCCAGCGATACGGTTCGGCCTTTAGTTACCAAGGCATATTAACTGTGAGTTACTGCATAAAGTACAAGCTCTCGCATTCATATGCTGCTAGCTCTTTGGTCTACAAATCACTATATGAATGAAAAATGTGTATCAGTGATTAATCAGGCCGTTTCTTTCAAAGTCTGTCACTGATTGGTCACTGCACATCTTTTATTCAGTATACACACAGACAACAAAGTGTGTAAGTTGTGCTGCCTTCTTGTCCCCTGGTGATAAGTCCATGTGACACTGTATAAAAATGGGTAATCAAAAGAGGGAACTGGTTTACAAAGATGAATGTAAAATAAAGAAATGAAAAGTGGTAACACTGGAAGTAAAATTTGAATCAAACATTGATTGGAGTTATAGAAGAAAACGCTGACGTGGGCATGTTGTCACTGCTAGATATGCAGCCAGAGGAACTTCGTGAAGACACTCTCATCGATATAAATGGGGACGGTCACTGCAAAAAAGGATAAACATATCCTAGAAGAAGTGACAGTGGCAAAAATTTTCATGTGAAAGGGACTCTCAGAAATATATCACAACATGGAAACTACAAAGGGCAAAATGTTGGAAGATAATCCAAATTTAGAAAGGAATAGAACACCTGCCCAAATATAGAGAGGAGGCTTGCTCCCTATCTAAATTACAAAATGAGAATGCAAGCACTGTTCAAACTACTCTCGATCATTTTTTACAAAAAGCAAAACACTTTTTCAATGTTTCTAGTGTTTTCAGTTACAGCATTTTAAATAAATATTAGTTTTACTGTTTTTCATTTTGCTGTACATTTATGGCCCCAAATAAGGGAGATTTCAATGTTTTGACAAATGTTTTGAGTCCTAGAAAAATGGTCACTCTCCGAATTGATTATTAAGATCTTTGTGCTATTTTGGCCTGCATTTTTATTTTAAAAATCCTAAACTGGGCAAAGTGAATGCTACCTTCATTCCTTAAAGAATGTCTTTCAATTTCTCTTTTAATAGACACATTGTATGCAAGTGAATTCAATTCAGAAGTAGGTTTCTAAGTGTTAGCACATTTTATTTGTGTAAAATTCCCCCTTCAGGTTTTGTCAGTCATTGGTCAATTTGATGTAATGAAAATATGCAATATTTAAATTTTTTAAAAAGTGGTAATAAAAGAAACTGAGTAAATACCAGTAACATACAGATATAATGTTAACTTCCAGTTTTGAGCACACATTGTACTTACTTTCTTAAGCCAGTAACGAGATGTGTGAAATGTTGAAGATCCAAAATTTTCTCCTGAAGATGGTGAAGGATAAGGGTGTGGTAAATTTAATCCCAAATACAGAACAAATGGTTGAGTGTGAGTACTCGCTGCTTTTCTTAACCAGTTTACTGCTCTGTCTGTATTCTTCCAGTCCTTTTCCATTACTCTTACTTTAGTCTTTTTAGGGATAAGATTAACCATAGGTCTGCCTTCTTGTCTGAGTAAAAAAGCAACATCCCTTGTCCATGCTTCCACACGGTTACTGGGGAGGCAAGAAGACAGGTATACTCGAAGGTACTTTAAAGGTTTTAAAAACTAAGCATAAGAAAGCAAAATGGAAAATTATTTTTATTTTTTTTAAACTTGACAAAGGGTTTATTCTTGAAAGGAAAATATGGTTTAACATTTGAAATTGAATCAATATATTTCACCTTATTAACAAAATAAAGGAGATACAATACCCATTCATAGGGAAACTATTGCAGAATAAAAGAAATCTTTCCTAACCAGATATAAATATGTGCAAAGAGCTTAGAGCAAATGTTACAATTGATATTTGCTGTAAATTTTTCTCTGAGATAGGGCATGGAAAACAATTTTTAGACTCAGTCATGTAAATGTTCAGACTAACAGAACTAGATCTCATTAAGAAATTTATTGAGCATTGCAAATTCAAAAGTGAGAAAAAAATAACAAGAATAAAATATTCATTTGTGTGTTCTTTAAAACTAAGATTGTCTAGAAAGATACTCATTTTCTATAACAAGATATTTAAAATAAAAGATGTTTTGGATTCCTAGAACTTCTGAATTTCCTAGCATTGTCTTTTTTTTTCATTAAAAGAAGAGATAGTATTTCTAACCAAAGCTACTATCATCTTCTCCTGTCACTAAGTCTTTATATTTTAAAAATCCTACCACCAATGTGTACCTTATGTGTTTATGAAGTTTCATGTTTTAAACTGTTTCTAGCTAAATCTTTCTCATTATAAGAACAATTTAAACTATGATCTAAGCAAAGCTAATAATGATACAAATTTCTTATCCATTATCAACTAGGAATATATTTTTATTAGATGCTTTAAAAGTTAAATGATTCAATGAATTCAATTTTTCTAAATCTTAAGTCAGTTTTATCTCACTACTTGGTAAGTTATGTAGCAGCACTTAATACTACTTTTCCTCAATCCATGAATAAGTATATTTAGTTGGCATAATTGTTTAGGAAGCAGTCGTGGACATTTCTAAGATGCTTGTGTCAACAACATAAGAGAAATTCAGACCTGTGGAGACTTTTTATGAGTTTATTTGAGCCAAATTGACGACAGTTTCCAGAAAGCAAAATCTCAAAGGATTGAGAAGTGCTCTGGAAAAATGACCTTATTGTATACACCTTATTGTATACATTACAATCAAAGGAAAAGATGTAAGGGGGGTATATGAAACCTACTGGTAATAGATTGGAGGAGAGGTGGGAGAAAAGGTAAAATGACAGCTTTTACACAGGTAACAGAAAACAAAATTTAATAATTCAGTCATTGGGCTTTGCAGCCAGTGAGATCTAGAATGAATTCTGGTTTTTACATTTATAATATATACCTTTAAAAATCATTTAGTATCTTGCAACTTAGTTTACTAATTCAAGTGAGAATAAGAATATGTGGGATACAATGCATGTAAAACACTTAATACTCAATCTGACTTTTAGAAAGCTTTCTACAAGCTTTCTAAAGTTAATCAAAGTGTAACAATTGTCATACTACTGTTTTTACCTGGACAATGTAACAATTCATGCAAGAAGAGTGCCTTATCAGTGTGGGTAGTGTCTTATCACGTAGGTGGGTAAAGGATAGTTATCAACAATTAACATGATAACAGTAACAATGAGGGGGCTTGTGGTCTCAGCTCTGGCGGATGTGCCCAAGAGGTTCAGAAAATGGGAAGCTACCTTGACAGTCCAAAGGTATGTTACCATAGATGCAAAAAGACAATAGACAGGCTTAATTAAGGTAAAGATTGATCTTTGGTAGAGAAAAATACCAGCCTAGGACAAGACTGCCCCCTCATGAACTGCTTTTAGTGAACAAATTTTAATGTCAAACCACCCGTTGTAGTCACTTCAGGTCTCTGAGTTTGCAAGGCTGCCTCCCAGGCTTCCTCTGAGCCTGCCCACGTTAGTGTGCGGCCCCTTATCTGCCATTTATTTTTATAAATTTTGGCTGAGGAGAGCACCTGTGAAGTAGCCTATCCATGAATAAAAGGGTTTAAAAAAGTGTAGAAACAAAGGCTATTTTATATTAAACCATAATATTCCACATAAGGGAAATTTTAAGCCACCTAAAATGATTGATGGCCCATCGGTGAGCTAAAATAGAACTTTTTATCTGCCTTTTGAAGATAGGTAAAGAAATTTAAGCATCCATAATAAAAATATTTGATAAATATAATGAAAAGATGAATGTTGATGAAATTACATCTAACAGATTTTAATGAATTCTATCTAACATATGGAAAGTCCTAAAATAGTTCTATAAAATTTATCATAACTACCAAAACAATGTAGCATTAGTTTCTCAGTCTTGCTTAAATCATTGCTGAAATCTCACTGTATATGACTATTATTAGAGTTAGTGCAGGGGAGTGGGGTGTTGGGGGTATTACACCAGCAGTAGTTGTGCTAGAGCTCAAGGCTGTGAAGAATAAATAGGGCCCTGAGACAGATTCACAGAGATGTAGAGAAACCAAAGTGCTTTGTTTTCAACCAAGGATTGTTACATGAGAAAATATGGCTGAGAAATTATTACAGAAAGCAAGAAAATTCAAGCAAGCTTGTAATATAACAACTAGTTGCCAGGTGTGATACTGTGATTTGTAAGAAATATAGAGGGGTGGGCAAAAGTAGGTTTACAGTTCATATGGAAAATTCAATAATTAATAAATAATGCAAGAATTGTGTTTTATATACTCACAACTGTAAACCTACTTTGCCCACCCTTGTGTATTTGGCCTTAGTCCTGTTTCCAGCTCCTAAAACCGTTGTTAATTTCTGCTGTGATGAGAACAACAAAGGTAACTTTTGTTGCTTTAAAGAAGTTACTTGATGAGGCTGGTTGCCCAGAGGAGCAACCACATGATTGTAGGGTTGAAACTTTTATCCCCTATCCCTACCTTGCTTTAAGCTAGGGGAGAGGAGGTAAGAGTTTAATCACTAATGGTCAACAATTTAATCAAACTTGCCTGTGCAGTGAAGCTCCATAAACCCCCTCCCCCAAAAAGGAAGGGTTCAGTGAGCTTCTTGGTTGGCGAACATGTGGAGGGGCTGGGAGAGTGATTTGGGCTCAAAGAGGCATGGAACCTCCATTTGGCTGTTTCTGAGTTATACCGTCAAGAAACCAGTAATCTAGTTAAGTAAAATGTTTTTTTTTGTTGTTTTTTTTTCCGAGTTCTGTGAATTGCTCTAGCAAATGAACAGAATCCAAAGAGAGGATGGTAGGAAGCTCTGATCTATAACCAGCTGGTCAGAAGCACAGGTGCCAACTGGACTTGTGACTGGCTCTTGAACTGACGGGAAGGGGACAGTCTTGGAGGACTGAGCTCTTACCCCATGGAATCTGATGCTCTCTCTGGTTAGAGAGAGCATCAGATTTGAGTTGAATTTTAGGACACCCAGCTGTTTTTTGGAGAGTATTTGGTGTGTGGAAACTTGCCCTCCCCACCACATACACGTTAGAATTGGGTGCAGGATCTTAAGGCATTTAAGCCTTGAAAGGTGGCTGGACCAAACTCAGATTACTGTATCTTTTGCCACAGCAATGAATAAGTGTGATTCCATTTAACCTTTCTTGTAAGATTATGCCCTCTGCCTGATTTTTTTCTAAACCCTTTGTGTTCTTGAGGTTTATTTAAACCTGGGTTGATCCCCTTAAAGGCAAAAGGCTCAACTCGTTAATTTTCACCTAGTGTTGTCATTACGACTAACCTCAAATTTAGCTTTGTTTTTGTGCTCTCTTACTAAATAACATGTGATTTACTCTCCTGTATTAGTGGCATAGTCTTTTGTCATTTCCTGCTTATGTGTACCTTTGGCATGATTCCTATAACTGCTGGTACTCAAGTAGAGTTACAACAAATGATTTCAGCATTATTAAGGCAGCCCGGGCACGATTAAGGTTGAAGGTAATAGTTCCTCACTGATAATTTTCAACTTTCCCTCTTTTCTGGCTCTCCCAGAAATCTTGAGTAAGCTAGCTGATTAAGAAGGTAACACTTTGATTGGTTAGTTGATCCATGCACAGGCATTGCGCCTAAGTAAAATTTTACTTCTCTGTAACTTAAAATCACTAGCATGTTTTAGGTATTCAATATTAATAATTGTAATCAATGTTTACTGTTCTGTTCTCCCCAGCCCTGGGCCATCCCAAGCCTCCCGGGCTATTGTTAAGCACAACAAGAAGAGAACAGTAAACACCGTATAAGCAGTGGGCTGCTGTCACTCTCTCGTGCATGCACACACACACACACACACACACACACACACACACACAAAAGCATCATTTCTGATAGGCTTGTAACAGGTAACTTGTCCATGGAAATTTACAATTTTGAATAATGCCCTTGTAAATATTATCAGCCTAACAAAGTCTGTAAGAGAAAAAGGAATCCATACCCATTCCCATGAATACTTTTTTTTCAAAGTTGTGAGAAACACAAGTACCATTTTTTAAAGGACTTCAATGCTGTCACCCATCTTCCTTGTATGATCACTCATAAAAAGTCTGTTTTAGTTGAACGAATAATACCAACTCTGGCAAATTCAGACTGGAATGTCACTTTTCAATATACATTATTTAAATGCTCAATATACGTATGTTTTCCCATTGATTAATTTTATTAATTCCAACTACTTTCCTTTTCTTTTTGGTGAAATTACAGTAACTGGCAATACATAAGGGAATTTCCATCAGTCGTAAGATGCATAGCAAGTTCAGAGATGTTAAATGTGAAAAATTGCACACCTTAGAATATATTAAATATGGTGCCTTACCAGCCTGTTCTCCCACCCCTTATAAACAAATCTGTGATCACTTCCTACTTTAAACACAACGCACCACGTTTTTCCCTTTAATGCACTTACCTATACTTCTTTTTTAACCTTCTCTTTTAAACCATAAGTCTCTTCAGTTAGGTCATATCTGGCTATTGCGAAAGTTAATTAAATTGAAAAAGTTAAATCTCCACATTATTAGATAGTTTCAGGCTCTTG